TTGGTGTGTGCCCCCGCACAGGCCGCGGAGCTAACGCCTGGGGCAGCCCCTGCCCAGAGCTGCGGCCCCCACAGCCCAGCGGGTCAGCAGGAGCGACCCGCGCGCCTGGTATTTGCTTTTTTTTTTTTTAATTTGATTGTTTTATTTGCTTGTTTTATTTGTTTTATCTATTTGCTTTTTTTTTTTTTTTAATTCAAGAATGGAACTGGGAAGTCCAAGAGAAACGTTTCTGTTGTTGGTAGAATGAGATTCGCTGTGAAATTATCAGCGTTTCCAGTAAATTGCCATGGTTTTGAAACAAGGAGGCAACAGCTGCTCTCTATTCAAGCTGCTGGCTTAGAAAAAGGTGTTTCCTGTAGTGCACTAGAGCAGCAATGATCTTGAAAAGTTACATGTGACGAGGTAAAAGCAAAATCTAAACACCGTTTGGGTCTATGGGCAGGAAAACTACGTGTCTCAGCCTTCCCCCGGGAAGGGTGTCCCTGTCGCAGCAGATTTCCCAAGGGAAGGGGGTTGTTGAGCTGTGAGGTTTCCTTTAGACTATCACAAATAGGTTCGGAGCGTTTGGAAGTATTTGGCCTTTGTGTGTGGAGTTTTGGAGTTCATAGGTTTGAATTCTGAGCATGAGGCTACTCGCAAAAACAAGTCTCAGTAATGGGTTATGTGTTTCCAGCAGCAGTAGCAACTATTTGTCCATGCAGGTAGTTAGAACTGACCTTTTTACTGGTAAGTCGGTACCCTCAGGGTTAAGCACAGGGTTAATGTAATAAAGAAGGAGGGTGAGAGTCATCTCTATCTTGATACTTGGCTCTGGGAGTTTCAGGAGAGCTTGCAGGGACAAGCCCTCTGCATTAGATGTGCTCTTGTAATGTTTCAGACTGTGTGTACATCAACATCTGAAATCTACATTCTCTCTTTACACACATCAGCATCTGAAATCTACATTCTCTCTTTACACAGAAGAAACATTTCATATTCAAAAAACATCTGTATGAGCCTGTTACTAATTTGTACCTTAATTTTAAGGAAAATTGGATGGCTGAGTGAGAACTGGTGGTTCTGAAGAAGAGGTCGTGGCTGAGGATTGTAACATGTCCAAAGAAATGCAGGAACTGCAGAAGCACTGGCACTCCGTGGTACAGATCATCCATAGCAATGCAAATGTGGGTCTGGATTATCATTTTATATACATCTAAAGCTGCTCCTTTCATAACTGGGGATATCACACCCCAATTTATTTAAATGCACTCCCTTTTTTAAGAGAACACTGTGAGGCCTGTGGGAAGGGCTGTCCTCCCACACCTTCAGCAATCAAGAGAAAGGGGAAGCCTGTTCTGTGTTTTTGTGTTTAACTGACATAATCATTTGAGATAGTAGAGTGGCATTTTAGTGAAATGGTTGTGCTGCTATAAAAAGAGCTTAAAAGTACAATACTCCAGTGTATAGGTATGGCTGTCTCTGTCAAAAGGATTTTTTTTTTACTAGTAGCATTATAATTAAATTGCTAACAACTTTTGTGATACAGACATGCCTGCACAGTACTTAGGTTCAATAAATGAGCAGGTTGCAGTATTACTAAGCCATGGATAAAAGAAAACTCCTTGTTTTGAAATGTTACAGGTGTTTTTTCTTAACAAATACAGTTCCCTAGATCACAATGATAGTTGCAGAGACCCCATGAAATCTGCAGTTAAACTATGATTCAGTTTTTTCACTTGTTTTCAGATTGGTTGGGGTTTTTTGTGGTTTTCTGGTTGCTTTTTGTAATTTGTGCAAGAATGGAACTGGGAAGTCCAAGAGAAACATATCTGTTGTTCGTAGAATTCTATTCACTATGAAATTATGTAAATTTCCAGTAAATCCCCATGGTTTTGAAACAAAGAGGCAACAGCTGCCGTGTATTCAAGCTGCAGACTTAGAAAAAGGTGCTTCGTGTAGTGCACTACAGCAGCAATAATCTTTAAAAGTTACATATGACAAGAGGTAAAAGCAGAATCTGAAATGTTTTTCTTTCATCCACAGGTTGTTGCATTTATGAATTCTCGTGTTGGCCAGTATTTAGATGACCATCCTTTTGTTGCCTTATCACTCCTGATGTTCATTGCAGTGTCTGCTATTCCTGTTGGATTTTTCCTGATTTTTGTTGTTACAACAGCTGTAATGGCCTGTATCGGTGTGATAGTCATGGAAGGTACTGTATGCATGTGTATGTACTCACCTATTCCCTTTAAAGCCATGTTATCTATTCCTGTTTTGCTGTTTGATTCTGGATTTCCAACTCTAAGCAATTGAAGATTTCTGTATGTAGTCCCCAGGTTTCAGCAGTAGTGAAACTCTTAATACAGGAATAGTAATCTGATTAAGTGTAGTCTATACAGGGGAAATCCTATTTTCCTTTGTAATCTCAGCCACCAGGATATGCCTAAACCAGTTATCTTGACCATGCATGGCTTTTATAGAGGGTAGATAGTTAATTTTGCCCTGAGAAGCTGTGGATGCCCCAAACCTGAAAGTGTTCAAGGCCAAGTTGGATAAGGCTTTGAGCAACCTGTTGTAGTGGAAGGTGTCCCTGCCTGTGGCAGGGGGTTGGAACAGATGATTTTTAAGGTCTCTTCTAACCCAGACCATTGTATGATTGCAGAAAAATGTTTTTCCAAATGGTTTGAAATTGGGGTTGTGGTAGAATATCAGCTCTTCTAATTTACTTGTATATAAACTGGTTTAAATAACACGCTGGTTTTGTTTTGTTAGGTGTTGTAATAGCTGTAGGTGGCATAGCCCTCCTTTGTGTGCTGTGTGGCCTGGGGGCACTTTCCGTGGGAGTCTCTGGAGTTCTGAGTGTTTGCTACATCACACTTTCAACTCTGGTCAACTACTGGTGTGCTTCAAGGTGAGTGTGTCTTGTTCCATGCTTGGATTTCAAACTCTGACACTACTATTACACTGATTGCTTCATTTATTTTAAGTGAGCCACTGGTGCTGAGTTTTACAATGTTTCTTGAGTGCTTTGAATCTTGAGTTAATGTGCAGCATACAGAGTCTGGTCATCAATATATATTTTAATGAGCCCCTTTTCCTGTTTGGGAACGAGGAAACATAAATGATCTTTTAATAAGCATGTACTAACACAACATCAAGCAATAAAATACAACTTTGTTTTGCTTTAATTTGTTGCTTTAAATGTTATTAAAACACCCTGCCAAATTCAATTTTGTGTAGAGGATGAACCTTTTGCAGTTTTTCCTGCACGATGACCCAGCTATCTCTGCTTGCCTGCATTTGTAGAGTAATAGACCAGAATTAGTTGTAGAATTGGGATAGGCAAAGGGGTACTTAAAAGGGACAGTGTGGTCTAAAAGAGAAATAACAGGTTCTGCTGAATACTGCACAAGTGCAGCTTGCCAGTACTTCGGGCCTGGAGGCCTGTTTCAGTCAGCATTGCCTCAGCCACACTTCTCAGGATCTGGCAGGGAACAGAAGGCACCAGCAGGTTGTGCTGGAGTGACACTTCTGGCCCCCTGCAGCACCTGCCAGGGAAGGAATCATGGTAATTGCTTAAACATAGGGAAGAGCAAGAAGAAAAATTACAGCTGCTTCCTTCTAGACTTTCTCAGTTTACTCCTTCAGCACAGCTGTGCTAGCACAGCTCTCCAGGACACACAGAGCTGCTGTGATACCACGGGGTGACAAAACCATGGTGCAAGGCCCAGTGTGCTCACATTTGTTCCAGGGCTCTGTACCACCCCTCCAGGGCAAGCTGCCAGCTCTGTAACACTGCCCACCAGGTCCATAACACTTCTGTTTTCCATAACACATCCAAATGAACAACCCAACACACAAACCAATCATATCGACTTAGAGCTTTGATGTTAAGACAGATAATACCTGCAGTGGTTATGTTCCTGTGTCTTTTGAGAGCAGCTCTGTCAGACCAGCAGCAGATGTTCCAGGAGTCTCAGACAGGTTTACATCTTGTGTTACTCAACTTTTTTGAGCCAAAAGCTAAAAGACAATAATCTTGGGGAGGAACAGACTGTAAACCCATTCTTTTCTCCTGTCTACAGGGGTCAGATAAGGAAGCAAGATGTTAATGGAAGTTTGCCACAGAACAGTCCTGTCTTGGATGCCAGTAATGGAAAAAGTGAATAAGTGGCTTTCTTCCCACTTCATTCATAGGCACTTAACTGTACAATTCCAACCTTTGCTATGTAACTGTTGACTTGTTGAGCCTTTGTGTACTCCTTATGGCAACTGAAAAAAATCAATACATATCTTACGTTGTCACTGTAAAACAGATATTAAGAACAACCATTAAGCAGCAGTGCATTGCAATAGCAAGTGTATGTGCATGAGGGAATGTGCCACAGAGCTTGGTAAAAGGATGTAATAGTAACTGGTACTGTTAAATCAGTTCTCATTATGTGAAAGAAAGAGTTAATAGGTATTTCTCATTTGTTACTGGAATTCTGGATGTGCTCTCTTTTGAAATTTGTATGCAGCAGTTGGTCATTTTCATACAGAAGTGTCAAAGCTCAGAACAGCAGAAATGTGCTCTGAATGTGGAAAAATACTTGTAAGCCTTAACAGCCTTTGTTAAAATAGTATAAGCACTCCATGCTAATGCTTTATATTTATTTTACATGGAAAATTGGGTTTTGTTGTATGTTAAGTCATGGTCTAAGCTTTTATATACCTCTAGATGTTGCATTATTCTGAAGGGATATTTTCCTTGTTCTCATTGCTATGCTTAGGTCTTGCATTTTTTCCCAGTTGTTTAGGTATTTAAATTGCCTGTTTGCTTCTCAGTTGTACTTCTTGTATATTATTTAAACGTTTTTTTCATTGTTGCAAATGCTATAATATTTTTAAGCATTAAGAAAGTATAACTATATTAGTTTGATAAAGTTTGTTTAACCAAGCTGTCATTTTAGTCTGTTTATTCTACAGTAAAAGAACTTTGTCTGATCTGCTTCTGTGAAGGCTATGCTTGGAGCTGAGTTTTTCCTCTTGGCTAAAGTATTTTGGCTGGCAAATATTGCTGAGCCACAGACTGAACATCACTCCCCTTCTCTCCCTGTAAGGGAAATGCAGAAGTCTAAAATTCTAATTAGTGTTTTACTTAGTTTTGCATGAACCAATATGGAGTCAAAGTCTGTCTGAGGTGTAATGTGTTCCACACAGTATTGGTGGTCACATTTTCAGCCATTAGGGTGGTAGGCTTGTCCCCACTGGGGCAGCAGAGTGAAATCATCCTTAGCCCTACTCACTGTCCACAGGAGATACAGGGAGGTGATGCTAGTTCATAAAGGTTTCTAGTACTTACTGAATTCCAGTTAAATATGAAGGATTTGAGAAAACAGGAGATTTCTTTCATAATTTACTAAGTAGATAACATATTTGGGTTTATAAGGCTCCTCAAAGTTTTATCCCAACAAGACTTTTAAGTTTTTCATTTCCAGGTGATAGTAGTGTACAAATGATAGGAAGGTAAAAAACAATGGGAAAAGTACTGTACCTTCCTTGTAAGAAAAGCTAGTGCTGGGATACTGTTTATGTGGCAGAGCCAGGAGAAATCCATCTGAAATCTGGAACAAAGATTTGACATGAACACATGCACACAGTTTTACATTGCTGGTATCCCCACTGTAGGATCACATCTGCAGCTGCTGTCAGTTACCAGAGAGATCTGCCAGTGTACAGCAGGTGAGTTTCTGGCAGGGAAAACCAAAATGCTGTTAGCAGTTGTGTGGTGCTGTGCAGTGATGCACATCACAGCTGAAATTCCTCAGTGCAGACGATAGACTGCAAAAACCTGAAATATCCTAGTGTTTGCAAACATCAACACACCCACTGGGGAGCATAGGGCACTGATGTGAAGGAGGCATTTTGTACTGGCTGGTAAATGGAATAAGTTCTCTCTTGTGCAAATGGACTGGTGCCTGCTTTTAAGGGCTGTGAAGTACTGAAATAAATGGTTTTAAGTACTAAAAATCCTTATGACTAGGAAAAAGTCTTGAAATAGCATTCTAGTACTTACCAGATCCTTCCAGCTTCTCACCACACAACTAACCCCCAACCATCAAGACTGGGTTTTAGTCTCATCCTACTTTCCAGATCTTAATTTTTCTCTGCAGTAATGCCTCCAGTCTAGGGATTTTTGGGCTGCTAAGATCAAACTAATGGCTATGAGGGAAATTAGACAAATATTAGCATGACTTTATTATAACACAAGTTGTAATCACCACCTCATTTATTTAGTGTTGCCAGTATTTTGCCTGCATTACATGCCTGAACTGCTGTAATTTCAAATACACCTTGAAAATAATTTCCTTGTTTATTTCTTCTATTAGTCTGCCTAAAATGAAACTGTGTTCAAAATAAACTGAAAGGGAGAAAAACCCTTCTCAGAGAAATAATGATGCTGTTTATCATCTGTGCTGCAACTTACCAGGTACAACCAGACACCACCAGCTTTCTGCATGCTTACTTGCACAGCTTCTACCCTTTTCACTTTCAGGTTTATCTTGCCTCAGAATCTAAAAAGATTAAGTTTTAGGTTAAGATAGACCTTTGTAGAATTACATTGAGCTATTTATACTCAACTAGACTTAAAAGCAAAGTGTGCTCTCAGTGCTGGCAACCCCTCCTTTTATTGAGAGGATTTTATTTACTTCCAGGCCCTATTTGCCTCCCTAGAGCACAAGTTCATTGCTTAGTCTGCTAGTGGATCCAAATCATTACCTTTAGCATTAAAAGGAAATTCTGCTCTCTCTGCAGCTCTATTTCCAGGACTGCTGCAGCTCAGTGACAACCACTGCCTTATGACATCCCAGTGTCACGTTCACCTGCCAGTGGTCCAGGGAGTAGAGGAGCTGCATTTTAACCCATGTTAACAGCCTCTGCTGATGCTTGGAGCAGTGGGTTTCTGAGCAGCCCCACAAGTCTCCAAGGAATCTTTATTTTTCCAGTGTAAGACTCAAAACAAGACTGACCATTATGGCAGTTGCTATCTATGTGGCCTTATATGTTTGCTGGGAACCTTTCCACATCCTGCAGCTGACCCAGCTCGTTATGGCAGTTGCTATCTGTGTGGCCTTATATGTTTGCTGGGAACTTTTCCACATCCTGCAGCTGACCCAGCTCACCCTATCCTGCCTTTCTACTGCATCAACAAGGTGACTTCCAGTCTCAGTTATGCCAACAGTTGTCAGAACCCCTTCCACATCTTGCTGGGCCAAGATTTCTGGAGACAGATTATGGTCCCTGTAAGACCAGCAGCTGCAGACTTCTCCAGATGAAAGCACAAACATTCAGGAAAATGCAGCTGGGTCAGGGCAGCCAGTGCTGCATTTGGTGTCTATGTCTGGCAGGTAGCCAGACCTGCAGTAATTTGGGTAAGCCTCCACAAGGCAGTCACTGCTCTCAGCACACGGGCACAGGGGAGCACCACATCACATCTGTGGGATGCATCTGCACTTGGCCTAGAGACAAAGTCACAGGAGCACTTTGGCAGAAGCTGTTTGGGCATTGTGTTTCTATTTATGTCTTCACTAACAACTAAATTATATCCTCCCCAGGAGCTGAAAAGCTTTCAAACCTTTTATAAGATTACCTTACAAACTAAAAATAGTTTGCTCCAAAACCCCAGGCAGGCAGCAGCCCTTGGTCCAGGGCTGAGGCACTGCCAGCATTTAACACTTGGGGACTTTCAAGATTATGCTTTAAGCTCACCAAGGAGGAAAGAAGGAATTTGGACTGTTCTAGGTAACTCAATTTTCACATGCCAGTCTTGAGCAATTTCAAAAGGACTTGACAATAGCAACCACTGAGCATCCCTTCTGTTAGAATAAAACCTTTCTGCTACACATAGCAACCAAAATCATTTGGCTTTGATTTTAAAACACTATTACTCTGCTAACAATAGGCACCTACAACCAGAAAAACAGACAAGAAAAAGCATTTTAAAGGAACATTTACCTCTTCATGGTGGATAAAACTGCTTGAAAAGTGCTTTTCTATTTCAAGAGATCATAGAGGCCAGGATCAAATTCTCTATCAGGAATATTTAGTTGCTAGAACATGCAGCCTACTTCAATTTTGATAAAGGCTGCAAGCTCCATCACTAGCATGATCTATTCGTGCTCCTGTAAAGTAACTAAACATCGATAATACCATTAAAGAAACCTGCATATAACAGTTTATATGCACCCTGTAACATAGGGAATAAAGTAACTAAACATCGATAATGCCATTAAACAAACCTGCATATAATAGTTTATATGCACCCTGTAACATAGGGAATCTCTATCTTCACTTCTTTACATTTCCAGGAGCCCTTTATTTTCATGGCACATTAATTCCACAAACAAATATTACAAGACCACATGCCCAGCCATCCCTGAGGCAAGGCTGCCTGCAATAGCTTTTCAGGAGTCACCTCCAAAGACACAGCAACAAAGCCCTTAGACCTGTCTCAAATAACAACACTCAAAATCTTTATAGCACAGCTCATATCTGGATACACAGCTGATGAGATCTATTCCCTTTACCCTGAATTTCCTTTGTACCCTCATCTTCTGCTGAAGGTTAGAGGCATCACTTAATAAACTTAGCAGGCACTAAAGCAAATGAGTTTATTCCTAGAGTCTGACCCCACATGAACCATTTTCTTCTGCATTTTGATTTTATTTTTTCATTATATAATTCAGTCATCAGCACTTCCCAGGAGCTAAAGCTGTGAATTCTCAGCTACCAGCAGGTAAACATAGTACAGTTTCACTTCTGCTGCCCTGACCTTAGTATGTTTATCAGTCTATCATTTCAAGGCTTCTCACCCTGCACTTCTACTGAGAGCTGCTTTCCTTGCTGTGCCACCACTGCATTAGCATGGTTTTCAGAAGGGATATGCTGAAGAAAAAACTAGGTCAGCATAGAGTAGGTGTTTTTACTGGAGACAGTGAAGCCATGCCTCAAATGAGGGCATAGGTTGTGTTCCTTTTTAAATTATTAAACACTGCAGTAAAGCTAAGAAGCCTTTGGCAGTATCTCCCCAGCCTCTCTTGCTATGTCCCCATTTTTTCACTTGTTCTCTTAGTTTCCTGCAGTACAGCATCCACTCAGCAAGGAACTGGCAGATTTTCCTACGCCAGTGGCACCATTCCCAACCAGGTCCTCTCAGCCTGTAGTTCACTCCCCCTTAAGCATAAACATGCCTCAGTAGACTCTTGTGACCCTAATCACTACATCCTGGGAGACCCCAAAAACATCTAGAGTCTGAGGATGTTTAGAAGAACTACCTGTGCTACAGTTCCTGAAGCAGATGCTTGAGCTCAGGCTGCAGAGAGCAAATGCTGCTGCCACCTGCAACAGGTTAATTCCTCTGCCTCCTCTTACTGTACTATCAATCCCATTTTGCCTTCCTCTGTGTCAGAAGAGAGGGATGTCAGGCCTGAATGCAGTAAAGCAGTCATTTATACTTGTAAGGGGAGCTTAAACTCTCCTGATAACATGCTGCAGGAGAGGTCTAAGGGGCAGCTGCACACAGAATAGGGAAGGAATACATGTGGCTGAGCTCTGAGGTAAATATTTTACAAAGTAGGGAATAAACCCCCATGTTTTCCTTAATTTAACTAAGTTAGTGAGTTTTCCTTCAAGCTGCAATATCCACAAATAGAGCACAACTGAATCACTCCTAGAGAACTATAGTTAATCCTCCCAAAGACCTGGGACAGATCTCATGGGCCATATCTGACAGTCTGCCCCTAGGCAGACAATCTCAGCCAGGGACAGAAGCCAGGCAAGAATAACCTTCCCTTTGACCCAGGTGGTTGTCACCATATGCAACCTTGTGGTCTTATCTCCCCACCTAGTTAAAAAAAAAAAAAAATCTGGATAAAAGTCAAATAGCAAAAGTAAAGGTCTCACCTCTTCCCTTACTGAAGATATATGGGATTTTTTTAAGCACCCTCACTAGTGCAAGTCTCCAGATTGATATATGTAAGCTGTGGGAGAAATTTTTTAACTTATTGTGATTTTAACTAGCATTTCTCTTTTTAGGAGAAATATTTTAACTTACTGTGATTTTAACTAGCATTTCTCTTTTTCAGAGTGTTCACACAACAGCCACTGTAACACTGTTTAGTAAAATCCATCCAGCCATGAGAAACAAAGCAACACTTTGCCTGAACATGCACTGATCTTTTCCCATATTTCAGAACAAGAAGAAAGATGAAGAGAGGGAATATTGAAAGCATTAGCCTTGTTTGGGTCAGAAGAGCTAAAAGCTCTGTGGTTAAGTACAACATGCTGTCAAGTGTATAAACCCTCTTCAATCACCACTTTTCTAGCTTTTGCAGAAATGCTTCATATTCCAGCCAAGTTCTAAGTCAACAGCACTTGAGTGTAGTAGGTAGTTTGCTGGACAATAGCCTAAGTAATCATTTCAACTCTAACCTCTCTCAGGCTGATAGACAGCAGGAGTGACTTGCAAATACATGGCTGTAATGTGAGATTCGCTGTATTTATATGGACATTATAATTTTGGTCAACACCAGCATAAAGCCCTCCTAACAATCATGTTCTCAGTACATGCTCTCCTTGTATCAAATACACATCAATATTTAGCAAACATACCAATGCTGAAAGCATGTCAGGGACTGTGGCAGACAAACACCCAGCCCATGCTGGTTATGCACAGCATGTTTGACAATTAGCAGGCTCTAGCCACTGGTTTGATCTGAAGCCCTGCACACTCACAGAACACACAGAGCTGGACTTGTGATGATCACTCACCCTGCTCAAAATTGCCAGGCAATGTTTAACCTAAGGTTGTTACACTCCTGGTACAATGAAACACTTGCATTCCTTTTCATTGTCACATGCAATTATATTTTATGCCTCATTTCCTTGACTGTGCAAGGCAATGTGTACAGAATTCAAAGTGAACAGCTGCATGACAGGAGCTGCCTCACCTCACCTCAGGTGGGAGGTGTTACATCTGCATATAGTCTGTCCTGGTTTATACTGAAAGCTGCAGTGAGAAACTACAGTGACTTTTAAAGACATACACTGACCTTTTAACAAAGCATTCGATATATTCTTTGCCCTGCTGAAGAGTGGTAACTGCCAATGCAAGTCACATGCTTCACATGGGACAACATGTAAAGTTTCCCCTGAAAATTTTGGCATAAAAGCAAAGGAAACTAACCATTAATGAGTGAAGGCACTAAAACTCTGGTACTAGTGACAACAGGAAGGGTAGGAAATGGTACAGCAAGTAAACACTCAGTTTAATAGAGCTGTACCAAGTCCTAAAGGAGAGGAGTTGAGTTGCTGTAACCTAGCAGAACATAAGGAAGCCACAGGTCAAATGCAACCTGGTGAAGCTGGTGTGGCACAACCAGTCTTTGGCTGAGGTGGCATTAATGCAGAGGCAGCTTTAGAACTCCCCATTCTCCCTGTCTGCAGGCTAAACTTACCAGTTAAACTTTGTTCCACCCACAGCCTAATGGTATTTGGTTTGTATGGTAATTCCCTTCAAAAGCTTACTTGAATTTAGAACATTCCTTTAGAGAAAGGGCAACATTTCAAAAAGGCAAACTCTTGGGTTTGATAGGAAAGGGCATTAATATTGCGAACACCACCAAGGGGTGACAGGGGAAGTCATTATAGCCTCTTCTGGCATGCTAAGAGTTTTCTGGAAAGACTTGCACATAAAGAAAACTTCGAAAGCTAACATTAGCTACTGCTACACACTTCCTTTTCAGAATCAAGTGCCTCTTCAGCAGAGGGGAGGGAAAACAGGTAGAGTGAGTAGCTTTTCTTCCAGGCATCAGCACAACTATTTTGCTCTAGTACTTAAACATTGCAGACAAGACAGCTTTAGCTAGTACTCATCCCCCTTTTTTCCCATTCAAAACACCATTCTTTCCTCCCTCAGTTTTCAGAAACTCCAAATTACATACTCCTGGTGCTTCTATTAGGTGGCCATGAAACTTTTAACCATCAGATCAAGCTCTGACAGCAGGAAAGAGTCTGTTCCACTTAGGTTTTCATGTCTTTCCAACCTGCTGTACTCAGAAAAGAGAGGCTTCACTGGACATCTCCTTCAAAGACTTTTTGCAATTACGTGATTCCCATAGTAAGGAAAAAAGTGTTCTGGGTTTGGTTTGTTTGTTATTTTTAGTTTGCTAACCAAATTTCAATAAAGCCAACTCTTAAATTTCCAGCTGCAGCACAAGGCTCAACAGCTACAGGATATCTACAGTATGTCTATACATACTATAGATATCAGCACATTTTTTTTTTTTTTTTAAAGCCCAGTCGAATGGAATCACAATTGTGAGCAATAGCATTTGATAAGCAATTCAAAAAAAGAAATCTGCTGCAAAGCCCATTAGGAATTTAACACATCAGTGGGTGATTTCAGAACAAAGACACTCTGGAAATGAAATATTATAGTAATTGTTAAGCCAAATCTACAATAAGGAGATATTCAGAGGACCAGGAGTATTGACCTGCATAGATGCAGGAAAGGAAATACATGACAGACATAATTAACTGAGTGAATACTTCAAGTTTATTTGGACATATACATTAACATACCACATTTACCATGTATGCTCTTCTCTTTAAGCATTTAATAACAGCCAAAAATAGTAGCATTGTGGCCACCAGAGAGAGAATACCAGCAGCAGTCATTGTAATACCAGTCCATGCCTCCTTGCTCAAGAAGCTGTGCCCTACAAAACAAGCAGAAAGGTACTTTGTGGAGACAGCTCTTCACACAACCTAAGCAACACTCATCAGCACCAAAGTGGCTCCATACCTTGTGTTGCAGACCATTGTTCTGGCACAATGAGGACAGGACCGTGCAAGCTCACCACTGCAGAGTTCACATCTGACATCCCACTCTCTGCAACAGTAACACAGAATTGAACCCCATAGTGCAGTGAGTGATCTTGGATCAGTGCAACCTACAAAACTACTCAGGCATTACCTCTTTTGCTTCTAGATGGCCTTGGGCATCTTGTCATACACAATGGGGAGTCTGGCTGAAAATGGTCACAGAGCAGAACACTACAATGAAAGTACACCTAGGACAGAGAATGAGATGTCTGTTCATTTTGAGATAGTAACTGCTCCTACTTACTGCTCCAAGTAGGAGGATAATGTTACTTACTAGGCCAGGGAGGACTTTGTCACCAGAGACAAAGGCAAAAGTCTTCACTTCCAGCCTTTGGCGATAGTTAGCATAGCTGACACCATGCCCCACAGGATGAAACACAGTCCTGTAGCTGTCCAGGTCATACTCACACCTGCCAATGAATAAGAAGCAAGTCAGAAAGAGCAGGCAGCAAAGGCTTGGGTTGTTTGGTTCAAGTATTTGTAGGCAGCAGGTTAAAGTTCAAGGTAGAGGTGCTACTCATCTTCCTACAAATTCCAGAATACCAGGGCAGTACTTGAAAGGCCACCTGAAATGAAACCCTTGCACTTGGGCTTCTCTTCCTAAAGAGGGAGCAAGGGAGAATTCAGGAATCCTCCCCATCCACTGCAAGAGGCAGTTCCATTTCTCTGGCAGGGCACTCACCCATCAACAACAATATTCCACTGGGGAACTGAGCTTGGATCTTGTGAGGCTGTTGCCCAGCAGTCATCCAGTACCAGGTGGAGGTTGGGGTCATTGCGGTTTAGGACCTGAACTTCCAGGAAGATTGGCTGCCGGAGGTACCTCACTATTGGATACTGGTCAGCACGGTATGGCTGCCTGTATGAGTCCTCTGCAAGAAACAAAGCCTTGTTAGATCAGTCAGTGCACAAAGGGAATCCTGAAAAAAAAAAAAATATCTGTTCTTCAAGTCTTCAACAGCTGGTTGTACAGCTGTGGTCTTAGTCTCTCAGGTTTGAGGTATCTGCCTCAAGTAGCATGGATGGGAAGGAAAGAAGCATATCAGGACATTAGAAGCCCATGTCCCAGAAGAGTTCATTCATATATCCTCCCCCCACAGAAGCTCCATTTACCTCCCAGTCACTGAGCCCAGAGTCAGCTTTACCTGGGTAGCTTAGAAGAACTAAGGAGAGGGGACCTTTGTTCACTGAAGAAGCCAGAGGAGGAAGGTTGTCTACTTTTATAGTGAGGGAGGCATCACCATTGCTAAAGGAGCACAGGACTGTTAGCCTGTCACAAGAAAGCAGAAGGTAAGTCTTATGTTCATATACAAGTAACTCTTAATCTTTGCTATCCTAAACACCTGATTTCCAGACACACCTGAGTTCACTGTCCCTTGAGATCTTGCTTAGTGGAAGGTCTGCCTGTAGTGCCCTCACCTCATTCTCATAAACAATCTTCTCCCCATCAAGCTGTGGATAAATAACAGCATTAGTGAGGGCATTCCCAATGCATAAAGCTCAACCCCATCAATCCTGGCTACACACTTACCCAATACCTGGTCCCACACCCGTTCAGTGGGACATGAAACCAAACCCTGTCATTCAAAGATGACCTGAAGACTGGTCGGCATGTAGGATCTCTGAGCCTCAGTGTATCCAAATCCAGCAGTGGTGTGGTACTATCAGCAAGGACTTCAAAGTCCATATACCCATCCTGGGTGCATACAGCAGCTGTAACAGAGGTTCACATAAATTGTCACACCAGTCAGTGAGTGACAGCTCAGTCTGCCAAGAGCTATTACTGACAAAAATGAGTCCATCACAGGAAAGCATTAAAAACAAGTTGTGCTGAAGGATCACCATCCAAGCAAAACAGGGGTGAGGCCCCTGCAGAAGTCAGTCACTTACCTATTGGTGTGTACTGCTCACAGGGGCACTCAGGATGCATCACCATTGTCACAGTCTTCCCATGGAAGTGAAAAGCCAGTTCCAAAGAGGACATGTAGTGCTGAAGTCCTGTGCAGCTCTCCCCACGTAGCTGAAGGACAAGAGTTACTCTCCTGGAGCATAACTACAAGAGCTCATTTCAGCACATGTATGTGTTAGAGCTGCTTAGCTTCCCCTGAGGCCACAGTGATCTTCACTCAGCATATTTGTTAATTTGCATTGCTCCAGGCATGCCACATACCTGCCCCCTCCAAGAGCAATATTTTTGCTTCCAGCTGCTTTTGCCAAGAGACTCCATGAAAACTTAAGTTCCCTTTAGATGATGCTTATCTATTTACTAAGTCAGTTTGCATTCATGTTAATCACACCTGCACTCAGCAAGCCACAAAGCACATGGCTGACTTGAGAGGTGCTTAATTAAGGTCAAAGTTACTGTGCTCTGGTTCTCAGTAAGCACCAAGAAGTTATGATCACACAAACTCCTGTGACTTGAGGATCAGAACTCACCCTGGACTTCAGGACTTCCCTGCTAATATGTAGCTTGACTCCTCTCTCTGTGTCCAGAGTGATTCCATTTTCCTGAAGCTGATCCATGGGTATGGGTTTATCCTCTACACCCACAGCCATGAGGGTCCCTGGGAAGGCTGGGATGACAACAGTCATGTGTGTTGCATTACAGACTGCTGGACCTGCAACAATACCTTTGTTAAATATGAGAAGTTTCCTGAGGGCAGAAGCAGGTCAAGTTCTGACTTCTTCCAAGCATTACCTGGTGCACAAAGCATTCTTGACTCCAGTGTCAGTCTATGCTCAGGAGGGCCATACATGAGTTTGAGTGCCACAGTGTAGAGCACCTTATCATTGTGCTGACAAAGACAACAGAGCTCTATTAGTGCTCAGTTCACAACCTATCGTAAGACCAACCCCACAGGGCCATGTACTACATCAGGTTCAGGACTGCTGCTATTCATGTTTGAAACAGCAGTTTCTTCCTATCTCAACAACCTTTCAAAAGGGATCTGCATACAGGACTGCCAGCAGGGGTTCACAGGACAGGCTATAGCTAGAGTCCTGCTCCTGGAGGTGCCCACCCACTGTGCTGCTGTCCAAGGAGCACTCTGTGCTTCCCCATTTCATGGGGCTGGGCAGTGCAGTGACAGCTGTGCAAAGTCAGCTTTGCCCACAACAGCTCAGCACTGCATCACTTTGACATCAGCTCTAGCCATGGCCTGAAAGTACTTTCAGGGATCTACAGGAGCCTCTGTCTATGCAGCACTGTCTCCTCAGAGAGAACTCTTTGTTCACCTACCTTGTAGGAGAAAACTCCAGTGGCAGTAAAGGCCACCTGAAAGATGAGGTCATGACCATCAACTAGAAAGTTATAGCCTTTCTGCATGGCTTGCCCAAGGCTCAGCTCATGTATTCTGGTTCCATCATCAATTGACAGAGTCCAGGTCATTGGAGTTTCCAGAACCTGCAAAACCAGATCATCCTTAGGGAGGGAAGGCACAGAAGCAGCAAGGCATTAGATCTTCACCCTGCAGGGCTATCACCTCACAGGTTTTACATTCAAGCCCCCAATGCTGACAGCATAGAATTAGACTCCCCAACAAGATGCAGATACACCAGAGAGGTAACTGCCCCAGCTTGGAGATATCAGGCCTAGATTAGGTTGGAATCCCAGACACTCCTCCACCTCCCTTTGCAAGGCAGAAGGCACTTACCACATGCTCATCACCAAAGCTTGAAACAAGTCTTGGAAAAGTAACCTGAAACAGAGCACAAAGGTTAGACCACAGGAACAAAGAAAGTTGCAGGGTTGTAGCAAAAATAAAAATTAAAAAAATCTCTACTTCCCCAAAGCAGACA